GCCAAAATAAAGATTTCTAGTCCCAGCCAGTTTGGCTCAGTGGATAGAATATCAGCCAGTGGACCGAAGGGTCCTGGGTTCGATTCCAGTCAGGGCACTACCTTGGTTGCAGTCTTCTCTCTGGCCCAGGTCCTGGTAGGGGCTCATGCAGGAGGCAAACCAATCGATGTGTTTCTCTCACATCGATATTTCTCTCTATCTTTCCCTCTTTCTCCCACTCTCTCTAAAAATCAATGGAAAAAATATCCTCAGGTGAGGATTAAAAAAAAAAGGAAAAACACTACACAAAGATAAAATAATGAATGCACTACTGTTTATTCATATTACAGAATACTACATATAGATTAAAATGAATGAACTAGATCTACATGGCTACACCTGTTTAGGTAAAATAAGCAACATGCAAAAAAGTTAACAAAAGTGAATGGATATCAACTTATAATTTCTTTGTACTTTTCAGTATATTTAATTTTGTAACTTGAACTATTTTGTCATTTAAAAACATTTTATAAACTCTATGTGCAGGTTCTTCATGACCTTGGTATAGGCAAAAATTCTTAAATTTTAAGACACAAAAACTACTGACCACAAAAAAAATTGTATTACATTAAAATTGAAATCCTCTATTAACCCAAAAGATACTATTAGGGGAGACAAAAGGCAAGTCAAGAAGCAGAAGATATCTGCAACACAAAGAACTTACATGACAAAGAACTAATATCTAGAATATATATAGAACTTTGATAACCCAATAGGAAAATGAACAAAACACTTGAAAAGGCACTCCATAAAAAAGAATATCCAGCCGAAACCGGTTTGGCTCAGTGGATAGAGCGTCGGCCTGCGGACTGAAAGGCCCCGGGTTCGATTCCGGTCAAGGGCATGTGCCTTGGTTGCGGGCACATCCCCAGTGGGGAGTGTGCAGGAGGCAGCTGGTCGATGTTTCTCTCTCATCGATGTTTCTAACTCTCTATCTCTCTCCTTTCCTCTCTGTGAAAACTCAATAAAATGTATTTAAAGAAAAAAAAAAGAATATCCAAATATCCAATAAATACAAGCTGTCCCAAAATAATGTATACACTGTAATAGCTGATAGCTCAAGTTTGAAAATGAAAGGTATTTTAATAAACACTGCCTTTATAATTATTTGAAATGTGTATATACATTATAAGTACTGTACTTAGGAACAGTCATCAGGAGAATGCAAATTAAAAATAATTCTATCAGAATGGCTAAAATGGTGTTAGAGTCAGGAGAGTCATTACCCTTGGGGGGCTGTATCTATTGGGGAGCACAAAGAAGATTCTATTATTCTGGTACTACTAGTTTATTTCCTCGTGTGGGTGCTGGTCAGACAGATACATTTGAAAATTCAACAAGCAGTACATTTATATTAGCACTTATCTGAATGTATGTTATATGTCAATGAAATTTACCAACAAAAACTACACATAGAAAAAAACATGGAAAAATGAATAAACTCAAAGTAGGAAAACATTTCTATGACACAAAACCCATATGCCATAAATGACTGACAAATTCACCTATTTAAAATTTTAAAAATAAATGACAAAGATCCCAATAAGCAATGCTAAAAAACAACAATTAGGTAAGATATTTACAATTTATATGACAAAGTGCAAAACCTGCAAGAAAAAAGTCCAACAACCCAAAAGAAAAATGGGCAAAGGATATAAATAGGCAGTTTGGAGAAAAGGAAACACAAATAATTCAAATTTATTTAAAAAATGTTCAATATCACTCATAACAGAAATAAAAATTAAACCTAGCATGAAATTCCATTTTTCACCTTTCAGATAAAAATGTTGTAACTCCTGGAAAAGGTGTGTACACAGATAAATAGTGCAACATGACAGGCTCTCTCTATATCCATGACAAATGCACATACTGATTTGAACCAGCAAGTCCACCTCCAGAAAATTATGCTATAGATACTTGCCAATGTAGAAATTAATGTCTATATAGTGAATAAATGTCAATTAAGAATTGATTAAATAAATTAGGGCACATCCTAGAATACTACAGTTTTGTGTTTTTAGTAAGAATGGAGAAGAACTTTATGTAATGACTAGACGCCTGGCCTGTGGGATCGGGCCGAAACCGGCTCTCCGACATCCCCCAAGGGGTCCTGAATTGCCAAACAGCACAGACCAGGCTGAGGGACCCCACTGGTGGACGACTGGAACTGGGGAGGAATGCAGGAGGTTGACCAGCCGGGGAGGGACTGTCGGAGGACTCCAGGGCATGTCCGGCCCATCTTGCTCAGTCCCGATTGGCCAGACCCCAGCAGCAAGCCCTCCTACTAGTCGGAGCATCTTCCCCCTGGAAGTGCACGTCACAGCGACTGGTCGACCGGTCAACTGTCTGCCCCCTGTTGGTTGGCCAGTGGACATTATAGCGACTGGTCGACCAGTTGACTGTCTGCCCCTGGTGGTCAGTGCACATCATAGTGAGTGGTTGAGTGGCCTTAGCATATCATTAGCATATTACACTTTGATTGGTTGAACAGATGACCAGACACTTAGCATATTAAACTTTTATTATATAGGATATGGAAAAGATTCCCAGTTATAATATATAGTTGAAAAAGGGTAACAATAGTATATAAGCATGCAAACTTGTTTGAAAAAAAATTGATATACACATTTACTTGAATATATGTATAAAATACTTTAAAAAAGATATCTAAAAAGCCAATACTGTATTATGTGTTAGATCAAATCTAAAAAGCCATCAATTGTAAGATGCAGAATTATTTTATAACCCAGTAACAAGTGTCACCAATTAAATTATGACTATATTCTTATCAAATAGGATTATATTTTCTTCTTCTTGAAGGGACTACCTTTTGATTAAATTATCATTTAATCATACATGAGCTTTCATAAAAAGGACAATACTGGCAAAACATTACTTTTAAATGCAATATCTGCCTTTTCTGAATCATTTTCAGCTCATATGTTGATAATATAATGATCATCCTCTGTGTCATCAAAAGATTTCTTTTTTAAATAATCAATTACTGTTGCTATTATTTTCTTCCAGGCTGTGTGATAGGACAATCCTTCGTAAGTACCTCAGTAATAAAACATTCAAAACCTAGCACTGTTACATCTAATTTTCAGAATCTTCTTATTTTAGGTTCTTCTAAGTAGCCCTTCTCACACTTCATTGTGTATGCAGCAAATCTCTTTAACATTTTGCCCAATTTGTTTTTATCTATATCTATCTATATGTATGTTTTTTTAAATGTATTTCTTTGTATACATTAAAATTATATTTATTCACAATCCTATAAGCTTTGACAAATGCATAGAGCAGCAATTTTCAACTGGTGTGCCACAAGAATTTTTAAAACATGCAATACCAGATCTATTTAGTCAGGAGCACTTTTCCCTTCGATTATCAAATTAAAAAATGACAACAGCCAATACAATAGTTGTCCAGTGCAAATGAATCAAAATTATAACTATTTTTTGTCAGATAAGCAAAAAATACATTTTTTTGGTGTGCCACAGAATTTTAGTAGTTTGTGTGTCATGAAATGAAAAGGTTGAAAATCTCTGGCATCAAGTATAGCAACTACCACCAAAATCCGGATAGAGAATAGTTCTCTCAGTCCCCAAAATTCCCTGTGCTGTTCCTTTGTAGTTAAGCCTTCTTACTCCACCTAGTCCCAAATAATCAGTGATCTATGCTCCATTCCTATAGATTTCCTTTCCCAGGTTGCCATATAAAATACACTCACATAGTCATGATCTTGTGAATCTGCATAATGCATTTGAGTTTGAGTTGCACCCATGTTGTTGTGTATATCAATGAGGAACTAGATTTAACTGGCAGCGGGGGTAGGGGGGAGACGGAAGGTAATTGTTGGTTTAGAAGGTTTTACTTTAAAATATTATTAGGTAGCCTGGCGTGGCTCAGTGGCTGAGCATAGACCTATGAACCAGGAGGTCATGGTTCCATTTCCGGTAGGGGTTCATGCCTAGATTGCAGGCTTGATCCACAGTGTGGGGCATGCCAGAGGCAATTAATCAATGATTCTCTTTTATCATTGATCTTTCGGTCTTTCCCTTCCTTTCACACATAGTAATTTGTATTCACATAGTATCAATGAAGAAACAAGAATAGTATTTTATATTGTGTTTAATCTTAAACGCAGAACAACCATATTTTTAGAATGGTGTGACCTTAAGCGAGAAATTATTTAACTAAATTATTAATTATATTGAGTTCTTTGGGTCTATAAAACAACTAGAAACATTTCCCCTTTTAGAGATTTAAGTTACTACATAAATAGTCATTGTTACATAAGTAATGCAATATAATTCCCACCTGATCATCATCTTCTACCACCACCAGAGTTAATTTAGTCTTCTTAAAATCCAATCTAGTTATCTTGGGCCTGTAACAATATGAGAATAGTAGCCAGATTTAAAAAATGTCCTCTAAATTTTTTTTAAGATATTGTTGTTACTTCAAGCACATTAATCATCTAACTTCTGAACTGAAAATTGGTAAGGGTAAAATAAAATAAACATTACCTGCACTGGCCATCAAAAAGGCCTCCAATCTAAAATATAGCTAAGACAATAGAAAAAAAATTTCAAAAGCAACACTTATAGCAAAACTGATGCTGCACATTTATCAGGTATTAAAAATGCTAAAGAGTGCTGGCTGGATGGCTCATTGGTTGGAACACTGTCCCATCCACCAAAAGGTTTCAGGTTCAATTCCCAATCAAGGCACATACACTAGGTTGTGGGTCTGATCCCCAATTGGGGGCCATAGAGGAGGGAACTGATTGATGTTTCTCTCTCTCTCTCTCTCTCTCCCTTCCTCTCTCTTTAAAATAAAACATATTCAGGTGAAGATTAAAAAAATGTTCAGGAAAAAAATGAAAAAATCCATATAAATATTTCATAGGCCCCAACTATGGTGTAAGAAATTCTCCAGGAACTGGATAAAGACTACAAAGCTTTTTAAAAGGCATAAAGGAAAACATATTATTGATTACTGTCTGTAGCAATTTTGGTTTGAGGAAATACATTTTTTAAAATAATTTTTTAAACCTCATTTTATGACCCACTTTCCAACTCTATCTCCCATTTGAACTAAAATCCTAAACAGCCTACCACATTTGAACTCTGTACTTCTATGAACTGTAATGTCAAAACAATGCAACTCTCACTAATTTTTAAATATCACTTATGTAAAATATAATTGTAAAACACAGCTTGCTTGCAAGAACTGTACTAACAGTAAGTAAGTGTAATAGGTGAAGGAGGGGGGGAGGATCTAGCACTTATTTAAGTGGAACCAATGCTTACATATAACGCCTACCAAGTATCAGGTACTCTACTAAATGTTTTACAGGTATTAATTCAATTCATTCTCACAGCTATCTGTGAGGTGGTACAAAAGATGCTGTCTTTATCTCTCAGCCTAGAGCGTTTTCTGACTATGAATCCTATCATCACCCCACAGGTCCAGTTGGAAGTGTAAGAGAATTAACACTCAAGGACTGAGTAAATAAATGCCCCAGCTCCCTCACCCAGTGAGGGGCAATTATAAAGGTATTCCATTCAAGTCTCTCAAAGAGTCCCTAACAGAGACACCTGGATGCAAAAACAAATGGAATACTATCTTCAACTTTTTAAGGGGAAATAATTTTCAACCTAAAATTCTATTCTCAGCTCAATTATCAAGAAAGCATAAGAGAAGAATATAACATTTTAAGGCATCCTAGGATTCAAATAATTTACTTTCCATATCCTTTTATCAGGCAGTTACTGGGGGGGGGATATATATATATATATACATATATATTTCAGAAAAAACAAAAGCAAAGAAAGGAAAATATGGGAAGAGGACACAGAATCCTAGCCGAGAAACAGAAAATGGAAGTCTCAAGATAAAAATTGTACAGCAGTTTGGAGAGCAAACAGTTCCCATTGAAATATAATCATTTCATATAGCCCTTGAGAATTTGAAAGAACTTAAGGAGACCACTAAGACAGGTAATTTAAAGAGATGTGTGTGGTGCTGTATATGTCACTGGAGTAGGGGGAGCCAAGAGCTCTAGGAAAAACAAAAAGGTACATGGAAGGGAAATATAATCCCAGTTGTGAGTTCAAGGATTTCAGGTCTGATCAGGAAAAGGACAGAGAGAGCAGTACTGCACAGATCTCTACTGAGGTGTTAGGACAGGCTGCACGAGGGGAAGTCCTTCACAGCAGAACATGCGGAGACAAATGGCACAGAGCCCCCACCAAGAAGGGGAAGAAGGTATGGGGACTGCCAGAAAAGAGGGGAATCAGAGAGGGGCTTATGTACCTAGGCAATGGCATTCAGCAGCAAGTGGGGAGTGTCTGGGTCAGAGAGCTCTGAAAGGCAGTAGTGGTTTGGAGTCTTTTATAACTACAAGATTTACCTTATCTATAGCTAGTAGTTTTTAGTGGGATATGCAAAGAAGACAGACTCTAAATGGCTGAAAATATACTTAACCCTGACCAGTGTTCTCAGTGGTTAGAACATCGACCCATGCACTGAAGGGTCTGCGGCAGGTTCAATTCCGGTCAAGGGCATGTACTGGGTTGCAGGTTCCATTCCAAGCCCTGGTCAGGTTGTGTGCAGGAGGCAACCAATCAATGTGTGTGTGTGTGTGTGCGCGCGCGCGCACGCGCACGCGCATCTCTCTCTCTCCCCTCCCTTCCACTCTCTCTAAAAAACAATGAAAAAATATATTATTAGGATATACATAAAGCAAATGGACGTGTAAGAAGTTGAGTTTGGTGCTGAGGGCTTCGAGCTAACGGTCCTCACCTGCTATGAAAAAGTAAACAACAGAAGAGCTAATACACAGCGCCATGTTAGCCCACATTTACACCACCAGTACACTGCTCAAAGCTGTGACACTTCTGACACAGACCCAATCATGTAAACGCTATTTTTTGATTTTCAGCTTTAGACAAAACCTGGAGAACTTAATTATGATTATGAAATCCAACTTATACACAAATATAATTTAAGTTTGGATAATAGAAGTTGGGACACAGAAAGAGCATAGCTTAAAAGGAGGCATAAAAGTATTAATATCTTCCTCTCACACAATAAGGAGTAGTGAGTAAAAAGACTGCCTATGGAGTGGTCGGCAAACTGCGGCTTGCGAGCCACATGCGGCTCCTTGGCCCCTTGAGTGTGGCCACGAAGTTTCAATCACACTGCACGTGCAGACCCGCATGTGGTATTTTGTGGAAGAGCCACACTCAAGGGGCTGCAGTTTGCCGACCACTGGCCTATGGAATAAGAAATAGCAAAAATAGTGATACTGAGGCAGGACAGTAAGAAGCTAGGAAAATTCTTTGGCAAGTAGAATAGGGAAACTGAGCAGACAACTGAACAAACTGGCTGAGTAATTTACAAACAGATACAGGTCACCTCCCTACAGACAACAGCTAGGCCTCAGTTGTATTTCAGCTCCAGGCCCAGGAAAGCAGCAAACCCAGATGGGCTATGCCAGGACCAGCTGCAATGACTAATGGCCCCCTGCCCTGGTGGTGTCCAACCAGTGGACACCACGACCCTGAAGGGCACACCTGGAAAAGGTGATGTATAATATGTGGAAGTCTCCCCTAAGACCTCCCCTAAACTCCCAGCCTTTGAAAATCCTCAAAACAAAGGACCCAACTTGTGCTCCCCAACCCAGAGCATACCCAAAGCCTTCCCTTCCCCCTCTGCTTCCGCCACAGGTATGTATCTTCTAAACCAGTGGTTCTCAACCTTGCCTGCACATTAGAATCACCTGCTAGTCTTTTTAAAATCCTGATTTCTGGGCCTCAGGTGATTCTAATGTGCAGCCAAGGTTGAGAACCACTGTTAAACAGTAAGATTTCCCCAGAGACTTGCAGCCAGAAGAAATGCGCAACAGCAGCTCTTCCCAGGCTAACCCCCTGCACCTGTCTCCAAAGACTCCTTTTCTCTAACTTACCAGTGAGCCAGAGCAGCCCCACCTCAGCTCTCGTTGCTTCTTCTATCCTAAGCCCTTCCTTGTTCCACTCCCCCCAGCTTTAATAAATGTACTCTCAAAATCACCTGCAGGTCGGCCCTAGTAGAACATAATTACATGTGAACATTTAACATACCTAGAAATACATAATACTTACATTAGAACAGAGGTTCTCAACCTGTGGGTCGCGACCCCTTTGGGGGTCGAATGACCCTTTCACAGGGGTCGCTAAGACCATCAGAAAACACGTATATAATGACATATTGTTTTTGTGATTAATCACTATGCTTTAATTATGTTCAATTTGTAACAATGAAAATACATCCTGAATATCATATGTACATTAAGATTCATAACAGTACCCAAATTACAGTTATGAAGTAGCAACGAAAATAATTTTATGGTTGGGGGTCACCACAACATGAGGAACTGTATTAAAGGGTCGCAGCATTAGGAAGGTTGAGAACCACTGCATTAGAACATGTACTCTGACATACCTTGGAACTAATGGAAAATGCAGCTAGAAGAGTTTTAAAAATTGCCCCTGGGTTGTGAAACTAAAGAGGTAGGATTATGACAGGAGACAGTTTCAATTAGTTTATAATCTTTTCAGAACTATTTGATTTCCAAATTCTATTTTTTGTATTAACTTCATATTAAAATACAAAACAACAATAAATATCTTTGACACTGACTCTACTTACCAAAAAAATAAGCCAATTTTGGTCTCTCCTTCAAAAACAAGAACTCCTGTTGGGGTTAGTCCCAAACTATAGTCATTCCCATCTCGAGCCTAATTTAAGGAATGGGAAATGTGTTAACTTATTTGCATAAAATAGGCTTCACATTTTCATACAATTGCTTAATTTTATTTTCACGTTGAATTATATTAATTATTCATATTAATATGCAAGATATTTTCAACAGTTGGAGTTTCCAAAACAACATTCTCAGGAGAATTAACATGTACATTTAGTTCATTGAAACACTACAGTTTAAGGTATGTCTTCACTGAAAATAGTTACACTCCCACTACAACAAAAGCTCTTTCCACATTCTTCTCACATTCTATTCACCACTTAAATCACAAATTTTGAAAAATAAAACTGCCTTTCTGGGAAAATTTAGCTACTCAAACTAAAAATAACTTAAATCACTATACTAGCTATCCTACAGTTTAAGAAAGTCCTCTCAAGTTACAGATTTTCAACTTTGCTTCCTAAATTAATTTTTATAGAGCCTTCTTAGCTTACATGATATGAGACTATATGAATATGAAGTGGAAGACTAAAAAGTGGTTTAAAATCTTTAATAAGTAACAGCTTAAAAGAACAGACATACTTTTGGGAAATTTTGGTTGTTTCTCTTCTTTCTTATATTAACCTTTATGTGAGATTCTTAACATTCAGTATTTAATCTCAGCCTTTATAACCACCTACTCAAGTACCTAGTACTAGCCCATACAAACTCCATAGCCTCTCTCACATGAAAAAATTTCAGTCACCTTGTATCTTGAAGGAATAAAGTTTTTAATAAAGGTATCACAATATAGTGCTTACCTTGACCACATGCATATCAACCCCATACATTTCTAGCCATTTGGCTTTATTCAGATAATTGGTTTCAGCTTGTGCTGGTGTCTGACCTCTGAAATAAAAAATAATATTTTTTTAAATAATAAAAATGTAAAATTAAGTCTATACCAAGTACAGAAGTAGAAGAAAATATAAGATCACTATCATGGTGATGTTAAGGAAAGTGTGGTCAAATATCAAGTACCTGTATTCCTTCCATTTCTCAAAAATAGCCAACTCCATCTCTTCAGTCTGAATGGGCATGAACCTGAACTCAGTTACAAGTTCAGGACTATGCTCAGCAAGATCACAGTCACCAAGTTCAGCTACAAACATAAGTTTTACAAAGTTATATTTTGTTAACAAGTTTATTTCCTGATGAATCTTTCTTTAAAACCAATTTTATTAAAAAATACTGCTAGGATTAGAAAAATTCTTTCTTAAACAACCAGGAATTCATAACACCCAAACCACTCCCAAAAATAAATGTAGCTTACACTTGTGATTTATCTGTCTATACACACAAATCACGTATTTCTGTTTGGTGGTGTACTTCTGATTAAATGTCTTCAAGTTATTCAAACCTTATTATAATGCTTAACCTTTGAGAACCTCTTTCTAGACTTCCACAGAGAAATACATTTGACCTTATAAGGAATAAATAAGAATATTTAGCAATCCTTAACACTTAGCTGGCATCTGTTAAGAACCTAATATGCAAAGAATGTGACATAAATTATTAATCCTAAAGACATAACAAAGAAAAATTGCTAAAAAGTATTTGGGGAAGGAAGGCAGTAGGAAAAGAACTGAACAATGCACAAACATTTATGTACTCATCTGTGCTGAGCTCTGAACTGTGGGTTTGGGGGAAAAGGGAAAACATTCTAGTTTTCTATACTTAAAAATGTTTTCCTTTAAAATAATATTTTACTCATTAAAAAGGAAAATATTTCCATTTTTATTTTAAAAAATCTAGCTGTGGAGAGAAAAAATACATGAGAACTACATTGAGATAATCATACAAATGATAACATTATTTATTGAGCACCCACTCTAAACACATATTATAAATACATTGTCACTTAACTTCCTTGAAGATTTTATCACACCCTTTTACTGCTAAAGAAATTGCTCTTTTGTCTGGACTACAGTGACTTTGAGGAACTCTAAACCAAATCTGCTATATAATGTTGTTCAGAATGTTTACTAAAATGGTTCAGAAAAGTGAACTTGAGAGTATGAGAAAAAGCTAATAACAACTACCCTAATAAAATATAAAATCATAAATGAAACAAGAAGCTCCTCTTATGAAGATGGAAGTAATACTTCAGCAAATTTATTTTTAAGAACCTACCTTAAGAATTAATACAATTTGATAAACTATTAGGCAGTGGACAAAGAGAGATGCATAGGACAAAACATAAAATTTGAAGAAATCCAAACTAATGGTGCCATGGATGAAAAGATCAAGAAAAAATTTTATTTAGGAAAGAAATATAAGAAATAATGTATCGCCGAAACCGGTTTGGTTCAGTGGATAGAGCATCGGCCTGCGGACTGAAAGGTCCCAGGTTCGATTCCAGTCAAGGGCATGTACTTGGGTTGCGGGCACATCCCCAGTGGGAGGTGTGCAGGAGGCAGCTGATCGATGTCTCTCTCTCATCAATATTTCTAACTCTCTATCTCTCTCCCTTCCTCTCTGTAAAAAATCAATAAAATATATTTAAAAAAAGAAATAATGTATCAGTCACATGTACCAATAAAACATTAAGTAATTAGTAAACACTACTCTGAATAGTGTTTTATTAAACACACAAAAATGTATAAAAACCGTATTTTCAAGAAGCATATACTTTGCTTGTCATGAAAATTACACAGTATGACGAAGACAGACCAACTGATGGAATATCCTATATTATATCCACTTTGTAATATGCAAATTGACCCTAACGGACCGCTGGGAACAAACGGTTGCTATGACATGCACTGACCACCAAGGGGCAGACGCTCAACACAGGAGCTGCCACCTGGTGGTCAGTGTGCTCCCACAGGGGGAGCTCCGCTCAGCCATAAGCAGGGCTGACTGCTGCGAGTGCAGCGTCAGTGGCAGGAGCCTCTCTTACCTCCTTGGCAGTGCTAAGGATGTCCCACTGAGGGCTCCTGGGCTGCCAGAGGGATGTCTGACTGCCAGCTTAGGCCCTCCCCCCTCTCCCCCCGCCTCCCGGGGAGCAGGCAGACATCCCCCGAGAGGTCCCAGACTGCGAGAGGGCACAGGCCAGGCTGAGGGACCTCCCCCAACAAGTGCACGAATTTTCATGCACTGGGCCTATAGTATGGTATAACAGATATTGAAAATGACAGCTCTTCAATAGATCAAAAAATTTTAGAATTAACAACTTCATATAGGAATCAATAAAAAGTAAAATACGTGCTTTCAAGAAAGATGCATGCAGTTATATACTTCTGATTGTTACAATGCATAGTATTTCCAAACTAGTATCATTAATATTCTGCAGACGAGAAAAGTTTTAATTTGTAGACAGACTATGATAGTAGATGGAGATGGATAGGTAACAATTATCCTAGTGGCATATTTTTGAAGTACAGAAATTTCGTCCATTCACAATCCTTCTATCAACAGGAAAATATGCTTTCTTAAATATTGGAAGCACAAAATGAGCAAAATATTAGGTTTATCATGAAAACATTAACATTTTAGTATTATTATCTTTACAATGGCAAATAAGTGCTACTGATCTTAGAAGGACTGGAGATAAATATAGAATCAGCCCCCTCCCCCAAAGCATAAAATTATAATCAGAATTTTTTTTCCATTTTGTGAACAAGTATTGAAATTAAAGTTTTATAAGAATTTCAATTTTTTAGAAGAAAATTCCTAAATTTAACACTATATGATTAATGTAACAAGGTACAAGATTTGAGTTTTTCATTACTCTCATTTACTGAAAAAAATACTTTTTTATCCTTAAAATAACCATCAGGAACTTTTAAATACATGCTAAGTATTTCTTTCATTTATTTGTTTTTAAGAATACTACTAAAAGCAAACCATATAGCTGTGACAACTTTCTAATATATAACTGTATTCTTTTTAAGGAAAAAAATAGCTGATGGCCAAATATAACATTTATGGAATTATCAAGTAGACTGTAATAATAATTTGAAAACTTAGACAGAAAAAGCACAAACTAAATGAAAGGCACGAGAAAGAAGGCAATGTTCTAAAACTTGTGTAAGTAAAGTCAGAGTTGGATATCGATGCAAATTTACACAAAATCAGTGCTGCTTCTCCCATATCACTTTGAATCTTCTGAAATTCTTTACCTAACCATACACTGAAAATAGCTATCCTTTACTCCCAATAATCAACATGAGAACTGCTTACCTTGCAGATTATAAGCTGCCAACTGAACTGCTGTATCAAATGGACACTCCAATCTGAGACAAAACACAATTGGTTAAACAATTTCACAACCTTCAGTTAAAGACAAATGGAAATATATACTTTATGTTGGCCATTTCTTTTTCATAATTAGCTATAAAATTATTTTTCAAAAACATTTTTAAACTACTCGAAGAAAATATGGTTTACCTTAGGCAACTAATACTCACTTTCCACTGAGAATATCTTGTCTTAATTGAAGAACAAATAAATACCTAAGAAAAACAAAAGGCACAAATTTAACTGAACAATTTTACCCTTCTAATTTGGAAAGAAACATTCTTAATTATACAACTTTGCCCAAAATAAAGTCTATAAAAGAAAAAAGGGACAATAAGCATCAGGAGGCTGGTAGCATGTCTGTAAGATGACAGCAAAAAAACAGCCTAGCCAGTGAGGCTCAGTGGTTGAGCACCAACCTGTGAACCAGAAGGTCACAGTTCAATTCCCAGCCCGAGCACATGCCTGGGTTGTGAGCTCGATCCCCAGTTGCGGGGAGAAAGGAGAATGTGCAGGAGGTAGCCAATCTATAATTCTCTCTCATCATTGATGTTTCTCTGTCTCTCTCTCGTCTCCCTTCCTCTCTGAAATCAATTTTAAAACATAGCAGGCACAGAATACATACAGTAGAAAGAAAAGATTTAAGGCAAAATACTAAGAATGAGCTCTGTGAACTGATTTAACTGTACTTTGACAATGCAGCCATCCCATATGTGAAAGGATACTAGCATGCATATAACTGTGAATAATAGCTATAATCTCATTGGCAGAGTAGTCAAGAGCAAAGTCCTCCTGAAGGGATTCAACAACTCAATATTTTACTTAATAAATAGTAAGTAGAATGAGTCATGGATTTGCAATATCATTTATTAAGAAATACCAGGAGGGCAAGAAAAAGTAAAAATAGGTATATATAACCTACTTAAAGTTTATTCAAAATTATTCAAAACAAATTGAAATCTAACATTTTTTATTAATCAATGGCATTTCAATAGGTAAAGCAAATCAGGAGCCTACTTGAATAAACTCTCAGTGGCCAAAGATAGATCATTTTGGACATCAATAAACATGGCAATGTATTTAAACACATCAGCCCCGTTTAAAATCCATGAGTTGATAATGACACTTAAAAAAAGAACTCACTAGTTACCTTTGGAGGATGCTAGGGAACTAACTCTTTATTTTGAAAACTGATTAAAAAGGAAAATAATCCTACACTTAAAAAGCACTATCCCAAATGACAGTCTATTGTCTGAGGTCTGTTACAAAGGCAAGGAATACATTTCATTAGCTATCTATAAACTGGAAAGAATTATGGACAATCTTCCAATATTTTAGCTAGCCTGACTAAACTTTACCCGTGTTCAACTATGTCTTACCGGGTTAGCTCTTCACGAAGATTATTTGGTTCCGAGGAATAAAACTTAACTCGAAAATGCAGACAATAGGGTGAACCAACTGCCATTAAAAAAAAGAAAAGAAAAAGCTTTAATTTTTATAACTATTTAAATGATAAGAATTTACAGTCAGTAAATCTGTCAAAAATCCACTGAACTGGGGACAAAAGATAACAGGTTTTAATATATTTCAGTTTACAGTGTAGGTTTGATTAAACCTAATACAAAAAGAACTATCTTTTTTTGAACTATACCAACCATCGTACAGTACTATTATAATAATCTGTCCTCCTAAGAATAGATAGCTCTAATTTAATTCTAACAGTTCAGGGTCAATATCTATCTATACTAATAAAAGGCTAATATGCTAATTAGACCGGAATTTTTCCAGACAACCTTCCAGACAAGCCATGGTGGCATTGCCGAGGCAGAGGCGGTTAGGGGCGATCAGGCTGGCAGGGGAGAGCAGTTAAGGCAATCCAGCTGGCAGGCAGGTGAGTGCTTAGGAGCCAGCAGTCCTGGATTGCGAGATGGATGTCCAACTCCCCGCAGGGATCAGGCCTAAACTGGCAGTCAGACATCCCCTGAGGGGTCTCAGATTGGAGAGGGTGCCGGCCAGGCTGAGGGACCCCTTTGCCCCCATGCACGAATTTTGTGCACCTGGCATCTAGTATACATATAATAGCCTAAGTGACCGTTACAACCGATTGACCAAATGATGGGTCGACCAGTCGCTATGATGCACACTGACCACCAGGGAGCAGACACTCAACGCAGGAGCTGCCCCGTAGTAGTCAGTCGACTCCCACAGCCAACCTCCCGCGGTCCTTCCTGTTGGCCAGCCAACCTCCCGTACCTCCCCGCCTCCGCCCCCGGCCGGCCCCTATTAGCCCTGATCGGGTCGGTCAGCCAGCCAACCTCCCATGGGGAGGGATCCTGATCAGCCCGATCGCTGGCCAGGCCGAGGGACCCCACCCATGCACGAATTCGTGCACCAGGCCTCTAGTATCAAGTAAAAAAGTTCTGACTGAGCCCTGACCAGTATTCCTCAGGTTTAATTCCCAGTCAAGGGCATGTACTTGGGTTGCAGGTTGGATCCTGGGGCCCGATTGGGGCAAGTGCAGGAGGCAACCAATCAATGTGTCTCTCACATTGATGTTTCCCCCACCTCTCTCTCTCTTTCTTTCTATATCCCTTCCTTCCTCTCTCCCTTCCCCCTCCCTCTTCCTCCTCCATCTCCTCCTCCTTTTTCTCTTTTCTCTCACTCTTTCTCTCCCCCCTCCTCCACTCTCTCTAAAATCAATATAAAAAGTATCCTCGGGTGAGGATTAACAACAACAAAAGTTCTGACTGTGCAATCTGACAGCCCTGACAATCTGCAGAGCTGTATTTCTTAAAAGCACAGAGGAACACTTATGTTATTAATTGTTCATGGCAAATCCTCCCATACACTTTCCAATTCACTTCACTTACTTCGTTAACATCTATATTTTCAGTGGTTCCATTATTTAGTAACGACAAGAGTTGCAATGCCCTGAAATCTGTTACTATACAGGATAAGGTATACTAAGGATTGAATACTAAGGTATTTTCCTGACTACTGATAGGAATAACACTGGCATTTTATGTGAAACGCTTCTTTTCACTGTTCTTAATTTTTTAAAAAGTTACAGCTTTGCCTAACTGGTGTGGCTCAGTGGTTGAGCACTGACCTATGAACCAGGAGATCACGGTTCAATTCCCAGTCAGGGCACATGCCCAGATTGCAGGCTGGATCCCCAGTAGGGAGCATGCAGGAGGCACCAATCAATGACTCTCTCATCATTGATGTTTCTATGTCTCCCTGTCCCTTCCTCTCTGAAATCAATCGATAAAAATATACATATTTTTTAAAGTCACAGCCTTAAAGCCTCAAAATATTTTTCACAAAAAGCTGGACGAATGCCAAACAAGAAAATTCCAACATAAGAAATTACTAAATAAAGGTTAAGCATCTCATGGGAACTTAATCTCATTTGCAAGCTGCAAGGCTTTCTCCTGGAAACAAACTGTAAGGCACTTCAATCTAATTACTATCAATCCTATATAATTTAGAATCAGTATTCCAGGTTTAAATTATTTTTAGAAAGTAGAAATGCTAAGAAATTAATCTGAAACGATTAAGTCCTTACTATTAGAAATAACTTACTAATATATAATTATATATAATTCAATTTCTATTTTTTCACAATTTTTTCAACACTTACTTTTAACTTGCTTTTTGATACTCTTTGTAACATCCAACCAATGCTGAAAACAAAAAAATTCAGTTGTTAAGCAGATGACAGAACTTAGCATTTTAATTACTAAAAGTTAATTTTCATCATGCTTTTACTGTAATCACAAGGAAATATTTCATAAGAGAAAAAAGAGTGAAAATGAGCAGAAGGGTTATCTACACAAAATCCATAGTAAGCTTATGAATAGAAATGAGCAAAAAAAGACCTAAAACCAAATATATGACTTCCTAAAATATTACCTTTACTCTCAGTAACAAAGATAGTCTAAATTTATCCCTTAGTTCTCAAAAAAAATTGAGACTCACAACTATTAAAATTTGACAGAAGAAAAGTTATCTTCGTGTTCCATATTCTTATAATAAAAATAAGATTTATTAACAGATCATGACCCCATATTAGGTGCAATAATAATGCCATGTCTATTATACAAAACTAGAGGCCCAGTGCACGAAATCTGTGCACAGGGGGAGGGTTCCCCTCAGCCCAGCCTGCACCCTCTCCAAACCAGGACCCCTTGGGGGATGTCCGATTGCCGATTTAGGCTGGCAGTCGAGCATCCCTCTCACAATCCGAGACCTGCCTGCCTGATCGCCCCTAACTGCCCCCCATGCCAGCCTGGTCACCCCCAACTGCCACCCTCTGCCAGTCTAGTTGCCCCTAATTGCCCCCTCCCCGCCAGCCTGGTCACCCCTTACTGCCTCCCCTGCTGGCCTGGTTGCCCCCAACTGCCCCCCTTGCCAGCCTGGTCACCCCACACAGCCTGTTCAGTCATTTGGTCATCCCTCACTAACCCCCCTGCTGGCCTGGTCGCCCCATGTAGCCTGCTGTTCAGTCATTTGGTCGTCCTTCATTGACCCACCTGCCACCTGGTTGCCCCACGCAGCCTACTGTTCAGTCGTTTGGTCGTCACTCATTAACCTCCCTGCTGGTCTTGTCGCCCCAGGCAGCCTGCTGGTCATTACTATTACTGTGACGGCATCCTGGACAATTTGCATATTCCTCTATTATTAGTATAGATAGATCTAGCCAGTTTTACTCATTGGTTAGAGTGTTGGACGTGGATTGGAGGGTTGTGGGTTCAATTACCGGTCAAGGGCATGTACCTCAGTTGCAGGCTGGAGCTTGGCCTGGGTCAGGGCACATGAGGGAGGTAGCCTATCAATGTGTCTCTCTCATATAGATGTGTTTTTCTCTCTCTCCCCCTCCTCCCTCCCTTCCATTCTCTCTAAAAATCAATGGAAAAATATCCTTGGGTGAGGGTTAAAACAAACAAAAAAAGACACTACTCAGAAGAGCCTGCACAAAATTAGATTTTTCTCATAATCAAGGCAATATTTATTAAGTGAAGCAATCTTTGCCCCTCTATTTAACAAATAAAAAAATGTTAATATCGTAACTAGCATATTTCTGGTTTCATGAGTAACAGCCTTTTGATACCTGTAACCTCTTCACTCTCAAATGTCCATAATATAAACAGACCTAAGAACCAATTCCAAAGACTTCCACTCTAAACCATTCCCAGCTTACTTCTCCTGCATTAATCCTTTTACAACACCAAGTCCTAACAATGACAGGAGGCATGCATCCAACTAAGATATACATAATAGTGTTCTCTCCAGCATGCTTACAATTCCAAGAACCCTAAAGGAAAAGAGTGCTCTTGTGCTAACTAGTTCAGAGCGAAGGAATCCAGTTTCAGAGATCCAGATAGACAAAGAGTGGGTACACAAGGCTGCATTGTAAACAGACTTGTAACAATTTGCTTTTCTTGCCAATTATTTGCCCTAGTCTGTTCTCATTCTTTCCCAAGAACCAAAAGTAAAATTCACAGAACTACTAGAATGCCAGCAAAGTACCTCTGCACGTTGAAATAAGATGGTCAGTAAACATTTTCAAAGGCAATTAAATACTGTGCAATATTTTCTCTGGATTCCAAGTGTGTAGGCTACTTAGTTAGCTGTCTCTCGTTTTTTTAAAAATTCAGTTGGACTCCACATTTAAACATATTTCAATCTAACAAATGTTCAGTTTACATAGACCTCTATTAATAAAATGCTAGGCCAGCCAGTAGGCATAACATAATTCAATATATTAGCAGAAAAGGTTTCAATCTAGGACATCAAAAATTCCATCCATCATGGTCAATATTCAATATCCAAAAATCCCAGATTAAACTATGCAAAATATTTACTACAGCCTGATGTCAACTACATACTAGGTGTGAAGTAAAATTAGTGTCCATGCCCCAGATTTTTCTCCCCACAACCATGGACCTAGGAGTTGCCCTTTCTTCAGGTTTTACCTATTATACTGCAACAAACAATTTTATGGTTAGTCACCTGGGCAGCCTCTTGTAGCCTTAGTTTTAGGGAGACTCTCATACACCATGAGTGCAAATTAGCACAACCATTCCAGGAGATAATATGACAATAGCTTTAAAAAAATAATTATGAATGTGTTCTGATTTACCTACAAGGAATTACATCAGAGAAAGTTAAGACAATTTATATATCCAACAATACTAAACTGCCTACATAAAGTATTGCAATATAATAAAACAGCAGGCAACAATTAAAATGAATGCAAGCAAATACATAAGATTCTAGAAAATTACTTACAATATACTGTTAAATTTTAAAAGCAGGCTATAAAATATAAATTATTTTTGTCAAAAGGTACAAATGTGTATATATAGTCATGCGCTTTCTTTTGGACTGAGACAATGTATAACAAAACAGTAACAGAGTTGTTATCTAGGTGGTTGAGATTACTGATGGTACTTTTTTCTTTGTTGTTTCCTATATTTTCAACTTACTCTACCAAGAGCACATATTACTTGAAACAATAATCATCAACCCCCTTACTTAAATATTTTATGTAACTAATATATTCATATCGTTTTATTTTTTTGGTAACATTAAAAGGTACATGGTCAACAGTCCTTCCAACATCTGCAACAAGCCAAGGCCGTCCCCCCCATATACCCAATTTCTATCATCACACTCACAAACATACCCCCCAAGGTGTTATTGGTTTCTGATTCTTTCCAGAATTTCTTCAAACAGAGAAGAAAAAACAACTGTGTGTTTGTGCTGGTAAAGAGTAAAGGACATTAACAGCAGACTGACAATCAACAGGCTAAATATAAATTTTGGCAAATTAAACGTTGAGGAATATAAAAAACATTAATACAAGACAGACCACTTACTATTTCAAGAACCACCTAAAATCTTTACTTAGACAATTATAACTGAAATTTCATCCAGTTTAAGAAATTTAGGGCTAGTCTCATAAATACTCCTTAAATCTCTAGTTTGTTTCCTACTAGTCTAAGCAGCACAGTAAACATAAAATCATCCCAGTGAAACTGGAGAGCATTATGCTAAATGAAATAAGCCAGTCAATGAAGGAAAAATACCACATGATCTCACACATTCATGGATAATCGAGACCATTATAAACTTTTGACCAATAATAGATACAGAGGCAGAGCTGCCTCAAACAGAGTGTCAAACTGCAGCGGGAAGGCCGGGGAGGGTTCGGGGGCGTATGTAATACCCTTTGTAAAAAAAAAAAAAAATCATCCCAGTGAGATAAAGGATCAGAGTTTTTCCCCAAGTAGGCATTTTAGTCTCTTTTCTACCTGCATGGAATAGCTTTCTAATATCAGGCACAACCCTGAGACAACCCAAAATTCAGATAAAGCACCAAACACATTTTAAAGTGAAATTTAGGAGCTGGGGGAGTTCTGGGTGAAGTTCTGGGGAAGGTCTGAGCTCATGTTTGTATATTCTCAAGTCTGTTTTCTTTCATCTCCTCCACATTCCAAGCCCAGGGACTGGAAAATGCAGAGCTCAGAGACAGGCACTGAGAGTAGTTTTCCTTGATTCCGGCTCTTTAGGAATTGAGTTTAAATTACATCAGAAGATAAAGGTGAGAGCATGCAGATATATATACAGCTTTGTATGTTTGGTGTGAAATGAGTATGGTTCTCTTTCCTCATGGTGCTTTAAAAACCTCTTTCTAATTTCCTACTTTTAAAGTTTGGCTGATAGACTTTTATGCCAAAGGATGTGGAAAGTCAGATTTCTTTTGATGCTATTAAGCTGGGCATGAAAGAACAATTATTTACTTGTATGTCTTAAAATATAAATAACAGCCAAAACCGGTTTGGCTCAGTGGATAGAGCGTCGGCTTGCGGACTGAAAGGTCCCAGGTTCGATTCTCTCTGTAAAAAATTAATAAAATATTTTAAAAAATATATATATATAAATAACATATAATCACAAACACAACAGACATAATTATACCAAACAAAGAATCACCTAGGGAGCTTCCAAAACACTAACATACACACACCTTCATCCCAGGCACTATTGCCAAATAATCTGTAAACAGTTCTTCAAATGACTATCTGATTTCTAACTGCCTACATTACTTTGCTAAAGAAAAGCACCATATTTTGCTTAAAAAGCCAAGACCACAAAGCAGAGAAACATTAGTCATCTTTCAAAATAATTTCCTCTGCAAAAAATATTTCTCCTGTGAGTAGTAGAAGCTTATGTTCTGAGTTAAAGGACTGATTTAAAGCATATTTAAACATATTAAACAGTTAATGTTTTTAAAAATCTATGCTATGAAAACAGAGAACCAATATATTGCATTGCTGTAATCTAACTGAACACAATTCAATTTAGTGTAGATTCCATTCTAAACACTTCCTGAGTAATTACTTTTTTGGCATTAACAATTTGTGATATAAAACATTCTAAATTTATTACTAGTATACTCTCTTAGGATTCTTGTGGAAATGCAGGCAGTTAGGTAGGATATAAAGACACTCTTCAGAAATAGAGCACATGATCTACTTTGGAAATACGTTTTTTACAGACCCTCCTCATTTAGCAAATGTGTGTGTTACAATATATATATATATATATTTAATATATTCATATTTATTTATATATATTTCTCACTTCCCAGTAGTTTACTGAATCCTATTTGTGTTAA